GGGACTCCAGGATCATGACCTGAGCCGAAGGCAGTCGCTTAACCAACTGAGCCACCCAGGCGCCCCCAAAAAATATTTTATTTTTAAGTAATCTCTACACCTAATGTGGGGCTTGAACTCACAACACAGAGATCAAGTCACATGCTCTTCCCACTGAGCCAGCCAGGCGCCCCTTACTTTGTTTTTTAATTACAAACTCAAGATCAGATTAGGTTCTCATATTAGGTTCCCTTTTACTATTTTGGAACAAGCAGCACATCCACCTGCGATTTGACAAGGGTCCTAAAAATTTCGTTGGCCCAGCTCATTATGGTTACTTTCATTCTCTCACTGATAACTTTCATTTCCTTCCCTGAAACTTCAGGAACTTCCTGTGGGGGCAAAGATAGTGAGAGCAAGTGGGATGGGCAAAAGCCCTTACCATTTGCAGACGTTTGTGTTCAATGAGCATTGGGATGTATCTTTCTGGTCAGCCACACCGAGTTTGAGTTCACTGAGAACAGTGGAGGCCACAGACAACCACAAGAAAGTGAAGGTGATTCCTACCTTTGTGCAGTTAGCAATCTAGTTTGAGGCTAAAAAGCATGAGGCACATAATGTAACATGTGACTCGAAATAAATAGCTACAGTTTACTGAGCAAGTAGGGGACATAAATTTGGGTTTATTCCTGTTTCAGCACACTTTATCTTTTTTAGTTTTTATTTTAATTCCAGGTAGTTAACATACAGTGTTATATTAGTTTCAGGAGCACAATACAGTGATTCAACAAGTCAGGGTATATAAACTTTGTGCAAACACACATGCACACAGTTTAATTCTCATAAAAGATTGGGAGGTGACAAGGTTAAATCTTTTTCTTCTCTTCTCTTTTAACCTATAAAAAACCCCTGAGGTTTAAAGAAAGAAAGTGACTCCCCAAGGTCACCCAGCTAAAAAGCTGTGGGGTCAGATTTTGAACCCAGGCAGAGAGAGGTTTCTGGACTTAGACGCAGTTTTAGTTAAGATTGCAGTAAGTTTTAATGACTGAGCGATTTGTATTTAAGGCCACCATGGCCAAGTCATTTCCTTAATGTGATCCTCATTTGCCTAATCTGCAAAGTGGCTCTCTCTTCAGTGGGTTGTTCTGAGCGACTGAGAAGGCACAGGGCAAGCATTTAAGCACAACCGTAATGTATAATGAAGGCTCCTCCCAGTCAAGTCAACAAGTGAATTAAAAATAAACTGACATGACAGGTAACCCTCAGAGGGGACTCAGGTCCCTCAAACTCCAGGATCTGCGCTGACTATACGCTTCACTGCTTTTATTCCTAACAAACACACCCCTGAAATCCAAAGGGGGATACAGAAATTGCCTCCTCCCCATTGTTGCCAAATAGACTTACCTGCCCACACACTTTTCCTTAATCCTATCTGATTTCCCCACGCTTTATTCTTTGGCATGTCAGAGGTCTGACTCAGCGCTTGATGGGCGCACGCGGCTTGAAATTAGAGAAAGAAACAAAACCTCCCAAGGAGCCGCCTTTTCCCTCGGGTGAGGAGGTCATACGCCAAGTCTCCTCCCTATGGGGGGACCTCGGTGTCCCACATGACGCTGCGCATTCCCCCTTCTTCCGCGACCCCCGCCAATTCGGTCACCACGACGAGCCAAGGCTTGTAAGCGGGAGGAAAGGGGGGGGTTGTTAAAAATGTCCCGCTGGCAGATTTCGGAGCCACCGGTCTGTGCCTACCCCGCCCGGCCCCCCCAGACCCCTCTCCCCTCTCCACCACTGCCCCGGCGCGGGGAGCTAGAGCCGGGAAGCGCGGGCCAAGCGCGGCTGCAGGATGCGGCGGCCTAGGGCGCAGCGTGCGCGCCCCACGGCCGCGAAGAGTCACCCGCAAGAGGGCCCCC